ACAATCCTAAAGTTCCATATATGTCTTTAAAATAATATGACAGGTAGAAAAATACATTCTTGTTTTGGGAAAACTATGTTTTAACCTCTAATCATTTTTCACTAATCCACTTTCCCTTTCTTTTCCTCCCTCCTTACTGAAAAAGATATTTTAAGTAAAAACAGAAATTTATGTTTCTACTTATAGCTTATAGGCAATAAAAGCAACAATAGCATCTTGACTTGGGAGCAAGGGAAATATCTGAATATTAAATATTTCCAAGGGAACAGTGTTTGATTTTATTGAAGACAAACACAGCTCATGTACTAATGTAGACAATACTTTCTCCTACCCTTTTCTTTTTAAAGTCAAGAAACCAATTCCCAGGAATAATATTTCTCTCCTTTTATTGTTGGGAAGATACATGCTGGAAGTTAATAATCTATTTACCTTTTGTTATACATACAGAGAGCCACAGCCATATAGACAATCATGTATACATACAAACATATAGTTGATTCACATATTTGACTTTGTTAAAATATTTGTAGCATCTAAATACTTACTCCTCTCACATCCCACCCCTTCCAAAATCTCACCCCCTACACAATCTCTTAGCTTTCTATTGCTCTGGTCAGGTAATAGGGATGAAACTTTTACCTTCACCCATTATATATTATTAATTTTGAACCCACAAATTCTTATTATGGGAGAAAAAGCCACTGCTGTGAAGGACTAAGAGAAACTGAGGCCAAAGCTGCTTTTCCTACAAAGGCTTTGGTTGGGAATTGGATGGCAGCAACCTCGATACAAAAAATTCCTAGGCAAAGGCACCAACATCCCCTGAATTTTAATGAAAATGTTATGTTAATGCTATAACAAGGTTGATAAAGAGGTCCTCATAATAGCCAACTAGGCCTTAGTTATATTTTAAGAAAAATAAAACAGCCAGTAAAGGAAAAGTTCTTGTAAACATATATAAAATATATGTATCAGTAATACATAGTAAAAATGTGATGAATAGTGACAGATGTCTATATCTATACATTTATATAAGTATCTCCTAAAATATATGCTTTAGAATACACTGCTAGTTGTTTTCTGTGTACTTTAATGAGAAAAGCTATAACTTTTTAATCAATTCAAAAATCATATAGGATATTGAAAGAGAAAGAGGTTGGTTGGTATGAACAGAAAGAGAACCAACAGATTTAAGACTATATGTTTTGTGATTGTAGACACATCTCTATAAGATCAGTATTATTTTAAAAGAGAGATGTGCCTATAAGCATACAAAGAACATGTAGCATATTTCATTCACAACACACGTGCATTGTGCACTGTGCAGCTGTAAATAATTAGGCAATCTAAAAAAATGCAGGACATTACATGTGATAATTTTTACCTATTAAAGTGTTTAAATGATTTTGCTTTGTCTACCAAAAAACATTTCAGAATATAAATTGAGAAGGGTTTTACAGTTGGACAGTTGGAAAGTTATAGTTAAATGTCTTGTCTATTGCTTGATATGCGTCTACTAAAACAAAAAAGTTGGATAAGTCTTGCGTGTACATACAAAGCCTTAAAACATAACTGCTTCTGATATAGTAAATTACTCCTCAGCCATCACTACAGGTAACTGTCCCTTATTTTATGGAGCATCTTGTGACAAAATAACAGAGTTGAAATGGTAAACAAGAGTGGGAGGAAGAATAGAAAAATTAAACTCCTCCAAATGTCTCTATTGGTTTTTCTTTCCACCTAAGTCATATATAGGGATGAACAGAATTCAGCTTTAGTGGGCAACACTAAGTGGACAACAGTTTATCAGAGTTTCTGGGCCCAGGGGGAGCCTTAAGGAGAGCACTTTTTACATTTAGTCATCTTTTCATCCTTCATCAGGGGAATGAGTGCTCATCTACCAGAAGGGTACTGGTCCTAAACCAGAAGAAGAGGAGTGGTTGCAGGGAAGCAAGATGAAAGCCTCAGCGAAGGTCTGGGTCCAGTTTCAGGAGGGGCAGTTTCAGAGAAGGGTTTGTCTGGACTAGAGACACACTCCTTTCAGAGAACACTAATAATATTGCACCTCCTGAAATAACCCCCCCTATCCTGCCAGGGTTCCCCACACTATTTCCTACCATTTAGGGTGTGTTTTGCGTGAGCGTGGGCATGTTCACGATAACAGGCCCCTCTGTGTGTGCGAGGTTATGAAAGGCCAAAAGTCAGAGGGAGAGAATCAAGAATCAAAACAATGACTAATGATTTCTAACCTGAAGTAGAGCAGATGCACTGCTCACCAGAAATGTGCTTCTATTTAAATGCTTCACTTCACACAACACACAATTAAAAAAGGAAGAAAGAAAAAAAATGAATTTTTTTGGAAAAATGTTTTATTTAAATGTTTTATTTTAAATCTTTTACAACAATAAAATATTGTGTCAATATAAACCCCTTGATTAAAACTGTTCACATCAAACATTACAGCGAATTGTTTTCTTTTTGACACCCAACTCATCTTAGAGTTTTCTTTTAAACATAATGCAGAATTTATTGAAAATAAATAATTGCTGGCAACTGCAATAGGCAATTTGAATAAAATAGTTGAAAAAGCAACTCTTAATGAAAATAGTGTTTATTATACATCAGTTACTAAATGAATAAACTAAATGATCTTTCTTTAAATTAATAACTTCAAAAACGTTTAATATACAAAACTGTACAATTATAAAGTCGGCAGAAATATTTGGGTTAACTCAGGTTTGAACCATAGCACTAACTGCAAAGGAAAGAAAAAATCAAAACAAACAAAAAAACCCCAACAGTTGTAAAACACAAACTCAGTGTGGAAAAACAAAACAAACAAAAAATTTCCAGAACAAAAATCCAACTACCAACAGAATGCAGAGTCTTGACAAAAAAGAAAAAGGGTCCAGGATTTGATTTAACACATGTCCTTCAACCTGCAGCTAGGAGAGACACAGTGTGATGGACCAGAGACCTGGCTGCCCATACTAACTCACCTTCCACAAGGGGCCCTAGGCATTTTGGTCCTTAGGTAGTTTGAAGCTTTGTCTACCGAAGCTGCACCTGAAGGCGGGACCAGGCAGCCAGCCCAGGCATACTGAGCCCCCAGCCAGGTCTGGCGGGCTGTGTCTGGGTGTTGGATGCTTGGCCCGCCCCGCACATGTGTGCTCATTGAGAATGAGGTGCTCCTGTGGACTTGGCGTGTAGACATGAGAGCGAGCAATAAAGCCACAGCAACTGCATATTTTTTTTGGATCTCTACACAGCCTAGCGAGATTTTATGTAGGTTTTTGTTGTTGTAAATAGTAATATGATGCACACAGCTATCTATACACACACATTTGCACTCGCAATCACGCACACACGCATACAAACACACACATGCACACAGAGATTAAAAATCAAAATCAAAAACAAAAAAAACCCCAGGAACCCAGCCGCCCTAGGCGCTCGCAATCTAGCTTATTCATCGCTGTGGGCTTCTACCAGCTGTGCTTGTCAGAGGCGTGGAGATGGCTTCCCGTGAGCCCACTTAGAGACAGCGATATATACATATACATATATATATATATATATATATATATATATATATGGGAGAGGAGGTGGTAACGAAGCTAGACGAGAATCCTTGTGACCTTTGCCAATCATTTCATTGTCGTTCTGCACGGAGCAGAGAGCACCTGTTTACCACCCCACACGCCACCCCTCCCCGACGGTTTCTCACTCAGGGAGCGGGCGGTGAACTGGAGGTGAACGGAACTGGGAGGCACTCAGTCTGTCGCCAGCATCTCCGGGTCGTCGTTCCCAGAGAAAGCAATCCTGTGTGAAGGCAAAGTCCTTCGCCTAGGAAGACGGAGGTGGGGTCGCGCTGGCGGTCCTGGTGAGGCACGGGACCTGGGGGGAGCTCTGAGTGCAGGCATTCCGGACCTCGGTAGGTGCAGAGCCCTCTTAGCTCTTCAGGCCGACCTCTTTTGTCGGGCGCCGCCGGCAAATCCTTCTCAGGCACCCGGATCTGCTCTGTAGAAGCCTGAGAGGACTCCACAGATCCGGGAGGGAGGGCAGAAAGCTTCAAAATCGCCTCTCCTACTTCAGGGTACTTTGCAAACCCAATCGGCTTGCCTATTCCGCCTATCCTAGGCACTCTGCCCTCTGAAAAAATTATATATATATATAATCTCCACTATCATCATCAACAACTCTATCCATTGTACCTCTCTTCTCCATACAGATTTAGAATAGGGGGTTGGTGGGTGGGTAGGCATCTCTTCCCCTCCTCCTCCCACCCCCTTCCCCTTTTTAAGCAATTAGAAAACCATTAGCTCAATGAAGGAATAATCATAATAGCAATAATGTGGAGTGGCCGATTAGATACAAATTATCTCACAAATATTGTGTACAGCTTGTAGTAAAACACCGCAGACATTTAGAAATGCTATAGAAGTTTTAAAAAATGCAAAACTAGTCTATTGTAAAACAGATTTCACCTGAAATACAGCTGCTATAACCAAGGCGCTGAAAGGTTATTCAGAGGCACACATCTGTCTTCCCACCCCCCTCCCCCATCCTTACCCCATCCCTGTGTTACCCCTCTCCTTGTTCTTCCAAGAGAGGAGCAACCAAACAGACCTTACTCAAAGTAAACAATATGTATTGATCAGCAGAAAAGGTTGGAGGAAACAGTTGCCCGGGCGGCAGGGTATATGAGTTCCCCGCCTGGACTGCTTAACGCAACTGTGTATTAGCGTTGAGAAGCCTGAATGCGTGTGTGAGTGTGTTTCCTTTCTTAATATAAGTTAGAAGCCCCTATTTTGAAAAAAAAAAGAAAAAGAAAGAAAAACGATGGGGAGAGAGAGAGAAAAAAGGAGCCCTATCTAGATATCTAGATATTGCTATGTCTCTAGATAGCAATAATAAAGCTGAAGTGAAAGGAAGAGAGTGGGAGAGAGAGAATTCCGCGCTGCTCCCAGTGCGGCCGGCCGCTTTCTTGCTTCCTGCAGTCAGAGATCGTGGCAGGACGTGTCTGTTTTCACGGTATGCGAATAAACCTCATGTGGCTGCTGATCCCCTGGTGGAGTCATTCTTTTCTCTTTCTGTCTTCGATTACAGAACCAGACACGCACTACTTCTTTCTCCAACTGGAGGCTGTCTGCCAGCGAGGAAATCTCCTGCGCGGCAGGCTTGGGACACTTGAGGAAATGCGTTTCCAGTACGCCCTTGACACTCACCTCGATGGAGGTTCGCTTCTTGCGCTTACGGCCCTGAGCGGCGATTTTGTCAATGCTGGTCGGGCTCCCTGTTGACGAATCAGCCTCCTCCAGCCACTTGTTCAGCAGCGGCTTCAGCTTGCACATGTTCTTGAAGCTCAGCTGCAAGGCCTCGAACCTGCAGATAGTGGTCTGTGAGAACACGTTGCCGTACAATGTGCCCAGCGCCAGCCCCACGTCGGCCTGTGTGAAGCCCAACTTGATTCTTCTTTGTTTGAACTGTTTGGCGAACTGTTCCAACTCATCCGAGGTTGGTGTCTCCTCGTCTGAGTGGTCCTGGCAGTGGTGCGAACCTAGGTCGCTGTGGTCTGGGGGATCCCGGAGCACGGGGTGTAGGCTCTGTGCAGAGGCAGAGGTTGGCGGTGGGGTGAGCCCTCCGTGCTCCAGCATGCCGCTCACTGTGAAGCCAGGCTGCGAGTACACGTTAAGGGGTTGGCCGCTGGACGTGATGGACGGGTTCGGAGCCGGGCTAGCCCCCCAGGCATTCGGATGGTTAGTGTGCGGAGAGTGGTGGGCGACGTGCGGTGAACGGTGATGGATGATCGCACCCAGCTGTAGGTCTTCGCGCCCGGGCTTCACATCCTGCTGGTCCAGGGGGTTGGTGGCCAGTGTGGAAGACCATGGGCCTCCATCGCCCAGACTGGTCACCCAGTGATGCCCGAGAGGATGCCCATTGCTAGGAACTCCCTGCAAGTAATCACTTTGGAGAAGTTTCTGAGGGTTTCGGAAAGGACTCCCCTGCTGCATGCCCGAAGAGTCCGCATGGACTAGGGAGCTAGAACTGAGAATGCTGTAGGGATTCGAGGCAGCTGTGGCCATGGTCGATGAGGATCCCCTACTAGTTATAATGTGGCAAAGGGAGCAGCTTCAGCCTTTGACATCTACGGTGCGGGGGAGCCAAAGCCGCGAGAGAGAGTTACCGGCAGGCTCTGTGGCCAATTGCAACACGTTTCGGCCTGGCCAGCCATGGGCTCGGCCAATGGCGGCACGGGAGGCCGGGCTAACTTTCCAAATTAGGGTGGCGAAGCACTAGAGTTTCAGTGAGACCCGAGCAGGAAGTAAATCAATCTTTCAGCTCCATTGGTTGCCTCGCTCTGAGTGGCGGCAGCTCATTTGGTTAACCCTCCACACCCCCACCCCACACCCCCGCCCCGCGACTTCGTGGATGTTTGTAGTAGAGGGGGACGTATAAGAGGGAAGTGTTTTTATATATGTTTGCGGGGGCGGTGGATAGGGGCTGAAGTAGCGAAATGGTTTTAGAATTCGTTTTGTATTATTTAGATTAACCGAAATAGAGAAAGAAAACATATATTAAGAAAGCAATATAACCAGTTTAAATGTCATCTAGATTTCAATGGATTGGGATTTTTATCAAATTCATTTAGCGTTCTGGGTTAGTTGTGTGCAGGGGACTGCAAACCAAAATCTTGCTACAAACTTTGAGCAAAGGAACCCCTTTTTGATAGGACCCTAACTTTATAAGACTGAAGTCCATGATTCCAATAATAACTATTTCGACTTGTTTTATTTATTTCATTTTATCGTTTATGAGAAACTCAATACCAAGGTCAGAAAGCATCTAAGAAAGAGATGTCCCCCTTCTTCTGAAAATTTTTGTTTAAGGCGTGAAGAACTGGAAGATTCTGGGAAAATCTAATGTGATAAAAGTAAAATCAAATGTGATACTGACAAAATTCAGTTATTTTGAAGTTTGCCTTCCAATCCACTTGGTCGATTGGAAGACTTGCTTTTTATTACTGTTCCATGTAGGCTCCCATCAGCGGTCCCACAACTTCTTTCAGAGGCAATGCTTGCTGAAATGGGCAGCCCTCCCTCACACTCACCCCAGACACTCAGCGGACCCACTCTCAATAGGTACATAAGAGAACGTTCATGATTACCGCGCCGAATGCTGTCCCCTAGGAAAATTTTTAACAAGCACTGCTCTCCCCCTCCCCATCCCAGACAAGTTGAAGTAAATGGGAATCATTTAGTGTGCCCTGAAAATTCAGAGAGAGAGAAAGTGATGAGAGATGAGAGATGGCGGGCTGTTTGGCATTAAGTACCCACCCCCCCTCTCCACACACACACACATCCCCATCAGCTTGAATTTGCTTTCAGCTTGGGAGGACAGGACTGTTTTCACAATTTGGTTAGAGGAAACAAGAGAGACTTGTACTCCTAAGCTTTTATAAGTTAGGGAAAGGCAAGTCCCGTGTACTCCACAGCCCTGTGAAAAGGCATTGCTTGTAAGCTGAGTGGGGTGAAAATGCAAAGATTTTAGATTTGCTCTAGCCGAGAAAAGGCAACATGGAATACCCAGCTGGATTTCTGAAGTAAAAAAAAAAAAAATGACCTTCCATTGCATAATTTCGAAGGTAACCTAGCTGCGTAATTATATTTGCACTTACAGAAGACAGCATCAGAGTTCCCTTATTGGTTTGAAATTCCATTAAATATATTGCAAGAGCTCCTAGGTTTAGCTTGATTTAAATTTGCATACATTTTCATATATTTAGCAGAAATAAAAGAAGGCTTGCAGCTACCAGAAAGTCATTAAGGCATTAGTTTCTCTAAGAAGACAGATCTGAAGAAAATGCAAGAAAATGAGAAAAAATAAAAACAAGGTGAGCTTATTCTGCCATTCCTTTATATAGATAAAGAGCATGTATTTCCTGTGAAATTAGTAATTTCTTATGAGAGCAGAGAGTGATAGGAGTTTATATTGGTAAATGTAAATTGTGTCTATTAAGCAGGAAAATCAGGCGTCTGGTTGAGATCTATTTCTTCCTCTCTCTCTCTTAAAAAAAAATGGATAAACACTTAGTAGTTATTGGCAGAGATGATAATTTGCCATCTTCTCCCCCTCCTCCTTCTCATTGAAATTGTGGTTTCCTTTGCTGGTGTCCTATTATAAAAGTTTATCTGCTTTAAACCTAAAAATTGTTTTGTTGTTTTTTTCCTTTCCTTCTCTTCCTCTGCCCCCGTCTTTCCCCCCCTTTCCCTTCCCTCCTCTTCTCTTTCTGTAGAAGAGCGTCTTTTCTTTACTGCCAACTAACTGTGTGTATCTTCCTTTGTAAGAATACAATCTCATTTGTGCCTGAACTTTAACTTCCTGAAGAAAAAAGTACTTACTAAAATCAAACAAAAATAAAAGTTTTCAGTTGCTCTGTTAGACTTCCTGTTCAAGGGTCCATTTGCTAATCTATGTCACGTCAGTTTAGAGGTCAGAGGGAAACACACTGAAGGAACCATACCGGCAAAAAGATCATGATCATTGCCATGTTGTTATAATGGTGTGTTCCCCACCCCCACCATTGCAGCTGCCTTTGGGTAAAAGAGTTACTAATCTTAGTCTGGCCATTCAGGCAGTTAAAGCAATTATCAATTTATAATGCTTTTACATGGAGAAAAAAGGGGGTCTTTTTCCAATTCTGACTTGCCTGAATTCTTATCATCAACCTTCCTCTAGCCTTTGGCCTCTATTCTGGGCAACCAGTTTTGCCAGGCGTTCAAAAGTGGTTCAGACCATGCCAGGAGCCTTGGGAGGGGCAGCTATCTGGAGGAGGTATCTGCATCCAGCTACAGGTTTTTCACACCTTTGTTCTGCTGTCCTTTAATGTAAGAATAGCTTTTGACAGAGCAAAAAACAACGTAGTCATCTTTCCTTCTTTTCCTTTTCTTTTTTTTCCTTTCCTTTTCTCTCTCTCTCTCCTTCCTTCTTCCCTTCCTTCCTCCCTCCCTCCCTCCTTCTCTCCTTCCTTCCTTCCTTCCTTCCTTCCTTCCTTTCTTGCTTCCTTTTTAAAAATCAGTTCCCATGAATATGGATACTGCCTAATTCAGGTGCAGTCCCATCCTCTAGCAGCTGTAATAGAATCTTCTCCTGCATGTAAAATGATTTGTTTTTTGAAGAAAGTATCTGCATATAGTAAAATCTTCTTGCTGCTCTAACTAATCTACTGGAGAGGTTTCCTTCGCCCTCTCCTGTCAGTCTAAGTTCCCAAGTGTAACAGATGCCGCTCTCAAGCGCTCCTTTCTGTGGCTTCTCTTTATTCAGCCTTGCATATTTGTCCCCATGATCTGGGTTTCCATAGAGAGAGGAATAAAAGGGGGGACCATGGTCACAAATCCCCTGCCCCATACAAAATAAAAGAGCCTCATTCAATAGACGACCCCGTCTGGACATGGGAGAGAAATAAGTACATGTGAAGCTACTGTTGCAAAGAGCTGGTAACTTATTTTTCATAGACTGATTTTACCTTAAACTCAAAGTTACCACTGATAAACTGCTCTCTTGGGTAGTTGGGCCAAATACACAGCTTGGCGTTCTTTTCATCCTGATATTGAAGTCCACTGTGGGATCCTCAGATCTGATTTACCCCCCCTCTATAATTATGGTTTGAATATAATAATCACTGACCCACCCTATGAGGTTGGGGTAGCTAAAAGCCATCTTGAAGGGGAGTCTAACTTAAAAATGGAGGAACTGTAATTTTATCAAGTCCACACACCTATTTCCAGCAGGGAAGAACAGGTTTCGATCTCTTGCTATGCCAGCACACAGCAAAAACTTCATTCTTCCTTAGGTTGCCTTCACACCCATATTTGCCACTCCACCCTACCCATTATTGTGCTTGTTTTCTAAGAGGGAAATTCCATTAATTTCTGAAAGCAAGTCAGATTCGTTTGATTTATTTGTATTTTCATTCATTTATTTGTAACCGGGGGTTCACTGTGACTCTCCTTCCTCACAAAATTTAAGGATACATGACAACTCCTGAGTGTCTTCCCAGACATTTCCGGTCCCTTTGGAAGCAAGGAAGGACTCACAAAAGAAATTAAGCAGATTAATGTGGTTTAAGTCACACTGCCATCTTAGCACGGGAGTTTGGTTGCAGCTGGGCAATCTATGCCCAGGTTCATTCAGAAATGGAGATTATGCCTCTTGTAGATTTCATAAATGAGTGTAGATTATGAAGCATTCTTATTATCTGTACAAATTGGAGAAGGAGGAGGAGGTCTGGGGCTGATGTCTGGGGTGAGGATCAGGAAGGAAGTCCAAAAGGCCAGATTTAAATGTGTATAATACGGCATGAATTTCCAGATAGTAGGACATGGCACATAGGTGTGGCCTTAATACTGAAAACTTCATCTTCAACACAAGTCCACTTTGAAAATAGGATTACTTAGATTGGTTTGGAAGGGACAAGTACACATTTTCTTTTTATAACCTGGAGCTCATAAGGGAAGGGAAACGATTGGACAGCTTCTGAAAGCAACAGAGAAAGAAGCCTTTTTCTTAGAGTCTGCACTTTGAGCTCATTAGAGGTTCTCAGTGTGAGTCACAGCTGCCCTTCAGAGCAGCAGCTTACTGTAGCACCTCTTAAGAGTTGTTGTTATTGTTCTTCTTCCTTCTCCACTGCCGCCGCTGCCTCCTCCTCCTTCTTCTTCTTCTTCTTCTTCTTCTTCTTCTTCTTCTTCTTCTTCT